CCCCCCCCCCCCCCCCCACAATACCCGGCGTTCACGAGCGCCCACTTATCTCGGCCGGCCGTGGGCGGTCATCCCTCCTTGCGGCGCTGCCCCCCCAGCCCCAGTCGCATTCGCGCCCGCCTCCGGTGGTGACCATGCCGCCGGCAATGCCCCGGGTCGTCATTGTTCGGGCTTCGCGGGCACCGGGCGCCCCGGACCAACACACACGCGCGCACGCAGACACCGGCACAGTCCCCCTGCTGGGGTGCGTGCGCCCACATGCGCGAATTAACTGCGCCGCCCCGGCCGGGCCGCATGTGCCGCGGCCCGCCGGTTCGCGCGTGCCGCGAGGCCGGCTCAGCGCCGGATTTGTGCCTCCGCCAGCCCGCATCCCCTCGCCGCCCCGTGAAACAGCCGCGCTCTTTCTCTCTCTCTCTCCCCCTCAAGGCACCCCGGCCGGGGAAACGGGGGTGGGGCGGGGTATTGTTGTTTATTTTCCACAAGCATGCACCCGGGGGAGGCCGGGGGGGGGGGAACAGCCGGCGGACGTGGGTCTCACCCCCCGGGGAGCGAGGGAGGGGCGCACGCTCGCTATCTCTCGCTCGTCGAGCCCCGGTGTTATTGTTCTGGTCTCCGGTTCAAGCCCCCCCGGCCGGCTGGAGTGGGCAACGGGCATGGAGAGGCCGACACGCCTCCGGCCACCCGTGGCGCTCAGTGACGCATGCGCCCTGCACTCCGGCTTCTGATGCGTCCCCTCCCACACATGGGGCCCTTGGCCCTGCACCCAGCCCCCGGCTGGGAGTATCTCCCCCCCCCCCTTCCACCGTGTGCCCCCGTGTGCCCCGCCAGACTCGAGTCCTATCTCCCCCGATCCGCCCCTCCGAGACAGTGTATTGTGGCGTGCCCTCGCGCGCGGAACATAGTCCGCCGCCGTGTGCGCGGCCGGGAGCATGCGAGGGTCTGGCTATCTCTCTCTCTCTCCCTCTCTCTCTCTCTCTCTCTTCCTTTCCCTCCAGGTGTGTGTGTGTGTGTGTGAGTGTGTGTGTTTGCCTGTGTGTTTGTGCGTCTGTGGGCCTCGCTCGAGCAGACGTGTATGCAGGTGCCCCGGGGTCACGGGCCCGGCCAACACCCGAGCAGGCGCCACATTTCAGTCTCCCCCCCGGAGCCGCTCATCGCCATCCCAGGGCGCCCCGCATAGCTCCCCCACCTATGTCCCCCCCCCTCTTCCCCCTCCAAACACAGACACACGCACATACGCATATACAAAAAGAAAACCCACACACAGCCGAGCCCCTCCCCCCCCCCCCCCCTCCCCCCGCCCGACCGTCGCCGCGCCATCCCCGCTGTTGCTGTCGCCGCTGCCCAAGCATGTCCCTCGACCGCTTGCTTACCTTCCTCTTTGGAGCCGCGGTCGCCGCATCAGGCAGCGGATCCGGCTCGGATCCCCGGTGCACGGTCGACCGGTCGACTGGCGATTTCGTCCTCGGTATCCTGCTCTTCTTCGGCACCATTATCTCCTTCGCCCCGCAGCATTGGCGGCTGATCGCCAAGCGCTCGCACATCGGGCTCTCCTACTCCAAGGTCATCCTCGGCACCTTCACGGCCACCTGCGGCGTGGGCTACTACTCGATCCTCGAGTTCCACAACGCCTTCCGCTGCTGCACGGACTCCTTCACCTGCTTCGACAACCTGCTGAACTTCCTCCAGCTGGTGGCCATCTACGCCTGCGACCTGTTCATCCTCTTCCTCTACATTTGGTTCTTCGACTTCCGTGGCCTCAAGAGTACCGGCGTCAATGTCCGCCGCGAGTGGCGGATCACCCTCTGGGTCATGGCGGCGCTGATTGCCTACATGGTGCGAGCCACTCCCCCCCCCCCC